CTGTTGGCCATCACGGGTATGGGGCACAGGACAAGGCTCAAGTGCAATTTCTTGGATCATTTATGGTTTTATCGTTTATGTTTTGATGCTATCCAAAGTGCCAACCGTCTTTCGGAGCGTAAGAAGGATTTCCTCGTTAGTATAGTGGACAGTATCTCGCTGCGTCGCAGGGGAAGACCGGGGTTACAAGCCTTAGCAGGAATGGAGCGTAAGACAAGGCTTATATAATATATCCCGTTTTACTTAGGGTCTAACCCCAACCCTAAGCTGTACATGATGTGAAAGGAAACCTGATTCCTCAGACCAAGCCACCTTCTTACTGCTCAAGGGTGCAACGGTTAATACACATCATTTAATACTAGACGTAAAACACAGTTACAAAACATTTAACTCAAAGGAGCTACTCCACTCACCAGCGGTAGCAGTCAGGAATTCCAGGAAATATCCCGTTTTACCATTAAATACATTTCTAGTATGTTAAGAGAGATAATACACTTTAGTCGTTAGCTTACATTTAGTGTGAATGGTTGAGCGGCGGGCCTAACCATTCTATTGGACCGTCTTTACAAGCCTTACCAGGAATGGAGTGTAAGACAGGGCTTAAGTGCAACTCCTTGGCCAAGCGTCTTTTCAAGCCTTTTCAAGCCATTTCTAACCCCAACCCTAAGCTGTACATGATGTGAAAGAAAACGTGATTCCTCAGACCAAGCCACCTTCTTACTGCTCAAGGGTGCAACGGTTAATACACATCATTTAATACTAGTAAAACACAGTTACAAAACATTTAACTCAAAGGAGCTACTCCACTCACCAGCGGTAGCGTCAGAATTCAGGAAATATCCCGTTTTACCATTAAATACATTTCTAGTATGTTAAGAGAGATAATACACTTTAGTCGTTAGCTTACATTTAGTGTGAATGGTTGCGGGGCCTAACCATTCTATTGGACCGTCTTTACAAGCCTTAGCAGGAATGGAGCGTAAGACAAGGCTTAAGTACAACTCCTTGGCCAAGCGTCTTTTCAAGCCTTTTCAAGCCATTTCTAACCCCAACCCTAAGCTGTACATGATGTGAAAGAAAACGTGATTCCTCAGACCAAGCCACCTTCTTACTGCTCCATTGTCCTTTGTGATGCTCACGTGCCTTTCTATGAACTTTTGATCGAAGAAACTGCCAGCATAGCAGTGTAGAGGCAATTTTCTGGTTTCGTCCTAATTTAAATTAAAAACATAAAATGAAATCTTAAGATATGACTAGTTCAAGCCTTTTCAAGCCATTTCTAACCCCAACCCTAAGCTGTACATGATGTGAAAAAAAAACGTGATTCCTCAGACCAAGCCACCTTCTTACTGCTCCAAGGGTGCAACGGTTAATACACATCAGTTAATACTTGACGTAAAACACAGTTACAAAACATTTAACTCAAAGGAGCTACTCCACTCACCAGCGGTAGCAGTCAGGAATTCCAGGAAATATCCCGTTTTACCATTAAATACATTTCTAGTATGTTAAGAGAGATAATACACTTTAGTCGTTAGCTTACATTTAGTGTGAATGGTTGAGCGGCGGGCCTAACCATACTATTGGACCGTCTTTACAAGCCTTAGCAGGAATGGAGCGTAAGACAGGGCTTAAGTGCAACTCCTTGGCCAAGCGTCTTTTCAAGCCTTTTCAAGCCATTTCTAACCCCAACCCTAAGCTGTACATGATGTGAAAGAAAACGTGATTCCTCAGACCAAGCCACCTTCTTACTGCTCCATTGTCCTTTGCTGATGCTCACGTGCCCTTTCTATGAGCTTTTGATGGAAGAAACTGGCCAGCATAGCTAGTGTAGAGGCCACCATTTTCTGGGTGTTCGTCCCTGGTTGTCTAGTGGTAAGGATTCTGTGCTCTCACCGCTGCGGCCTGGCTTCCATTCCCAGTCAGGGAATGGTGTTTTATCCACCGCTGGCCAAATTAACATTTAAAAAGGAACCATATCACACAGAGAAATCCTTCCCTTCGAAGCGGAATCGAACCAGCGACCTGAGGATGACTAGTTTAAGTACCTACAGTCCTCCGCTCTACCAACTGAGCTATCGAAGGTGAAGCGAAGCTTAATCCATGTATATCTATAAAACCATTCGGTATATCGATATATACGGTGCGAATGTATCCCAACTGAGCAAGCCACTAAGTGGTGACGGTGGCAAGGAAAAACTCCCTAAGATGTTAAGAGGAACAAACCTTGAGAGGAACCAGAATCAGAAGGGAACCTATCCTCATCTGGGTAACATCAGATAGTGTGAAAAAGCTGATTATGGATTCATATGGAGTCTCTTTGGCCTTAGAAGCAGCTGTAGTCCCAGCAATCTGGAATTGGAGTAGATGAGAGCTCCATCCAGAGGTAGGCCATCCAAAATGGATCAGGTAGGTCCAGAGAACAGAGAGGATCAGGATCTCTAGTATCTCCATAAAATCGTGTGTGGCTCGACAGAAGGAGAGAGGGAGAGAAAAAAAAAACTAGGACTGTGCCTAGCATAAGAGAAAGTCTAGTCAGCGTAGGCTTGATTAAACAAATACGATTAAAGCCTAGACACTGAGACTGTTCCTGAGTCCCGAACTCTAATTGGAAGACTGTTGCATAAGTGTGGGGCTCCAGAAGAGAAAGCTCATCCTCCTGTTGTAGCCTTCGCTATCCGAGTACGAACAAATAGCCTGCATCTTTTGATCTAAGTAGGCGTGGCGGATCATAGAAAACCAAAAGGTCGCTTAGATACTGCGGCGCGAGACCATTTAGTTAATTATGGGTTACTAATAGTATTTTATCATATAAAGTAATTTATAGTTATCTTTGATAAGTGAGCTAGCAAACGAGATCGATTTTCTATTCGAATTTTGCTCTTCACAAGCAAAGCGGCAAAGTGATTTAAGGAAACACTGGACTATTTTTTCTGGAGCCAATAAACGTGTTTGTGCATCTTTATATTCTCATGTTTCTGCCCCTCTTCAATACATTTACTTCAATTAAGTAACTAGACCATTTACAACTTCACATGTACACATTCGATTCAGTTCAAATCAATTTTATTTGTGTAGCGCTTTTTACAGTGGACATTGTCTCAAAGCAGGATTCGTTTGACTTCCTTTACATCAATGCAATTTCCCAGGATGGAAGATGTGTTTGGCACGAGCTTGTTTGATGAATGCCAAGGTGCTTTGTTGCTCATCTTCATAAAGATTCTCTGCATTAAGACTCAGGTTCATAGCAGGCTTCAACTTGCATAGGTAAAGCCCCAGTGCAGTTCAAGTCCAGTGCCATATTCTGTTGGCCATCACGGGTATGGGGCACAGGACAAGGCTCAAGTGCAATTTCTTGGATCATTTATGGTTTTATCGTTTATGTTTTGATGCTATCCAAAGTGCCAACCGTCTTTCGGCACGGCGAAGAAGGATTTCCTCGTTAGTATAGTGGACAGTATCTCCGCCTGTCACGGGGAAGACCGGGGTTACAAACCTTAGCAGGAATGGAGCGTAAGACAAGGCTTATATAATATATCCCGTTTTACTTAGGGTCTAACCCCAACCCTAAGCTGTACATGATGTGAAAGGAAACCTGATTCCTCAGACCAAGCCACCTTCTTACTGCTCAAGGGTGCAACGGTTAATACACATCATTTAATACTAGACGTAAAACACAGTTACAAAACATTTAACTCAAAGGAGCTACTCCACTCACCAGCGGTAGCAAGATTCAGGAATATCCAAAATCCGTTTTAATCATTAAATACATTTCTAGTATGTTAAGAGAGATAATACACTTTAGTCGTTAGCTTACATTTAGTGTGAATGGTTGAGCGGCGGGCCTAACCATTCTATTGGACCGTCTTTACAAGCCTTACAGGAATGGAGTGTAAGACAGGGCTTAAGTGCAACTCCTTGTACAAAAAAAAAAGCGTCTTTTCAAGCCTTTTCAAGCCATTTCTAACCCCAACCCTAAGCTGTACATGATGTGAAAAAAACGTGATTCCTCAGACCAAGCCACCTTCTTACTGCTCAAGGGTGCAACGGTTAATACACATCATTTAATACTAGACGTAAAACACAGTTACAAAACATCTTTAACTCAAAGGAGCTACTCCACTCACCAGCGGTAGCAGTCAGGAATTCAAGGAAATATCCCGTTTTACCATTAAATACATTTCTAGTATGTTAAGAGAGATAATACACTTTAGTCGTTAGCTTACATTTAGTGTGAATGGTTGAGCTGCCGGGCCTAACCATTCTATTGGACCGTCTTTACAAGCCTTAGCAGGAATGGAGTGTAAGACAGGGCTTAAGTGCAACTCCTTGGCGAAGCGTCTTTACAAGCCTTACCAGGAATGGAGCGTAAGACAAGGCTTAAGTGCAACTCCTTGACAAGCGTCTTTTCAAGCCTTTTCAAGCCATTTCTAACCCCAACCCTAAGCTGTACATGATGTGAAAAAACGTGATTCCTCAGACCAAGCCACCTTCTTACTGCTCAAGGGTGCAACGGTTAATACACATCAGTTAATTCTTGACGTAAAACACAGTTACAAAACATTTAACTCAAAGGACCTACTCCACTCACCAGCGGTAGCAGTCAGGAATTCCAGGAAATATCCCGTTTTACCATTAAATACATTTCTAGTATGTTAAGAGAGATAATACACTTTAGTCGTTAGCTTACATTTAGTGTGAATGGTTGAGCGGGGGCCCTAACCATACTATTGGACCGTCTTTACAAGCCTTAGCAGGAATGGAGCGTAAGACAGGGCTTAAGTGCAACTCCTTGGCTCAAGCGTTTGCCTTTTCAAGCTCATTTCTAACCCCAACCCTAAGCTGTACATGATGAATGAAAAACGTGATTCCTCAGACCAAGCCACCTTCTTACTGCTCCATTGTCCTTTGCTGATGCTCACGTGCCCTTTCTATGAGCTTTTGATGGAAGAAACTGGCCAGCATAGCTAGTGTAGAGGCCACCATTTTCTGGGTGTTCGTCCCTGGTTGTCTAGTGGTAAGGATTCTGTGTGCTCTCACCGCTGCCGCCCTGGCTTCCATTCCCAGTCAGGGAATGGTGTTTTATCCACCGCTGGCCAAATTAACATTTTAAAAGGAACCATATCACACAGAGAAATCCTTCCTTCGACCGGCGGAATCGAACCAGCGACCTGAGGATGACTAGTTTAAGTACCTACAGTCCTCCGGCTCTACCAACTGAGCTTATCGAAGGTGAAGCGGAGCTTAATCCATGTATATCTATAAAACCATTCGGTATATCGATATATACGGTGCGAATGTATCCCAACTGAGCAAGCCACTAAATGGTGACGGTGGCAAGGAAAAACTCCCTAAGATGTTAAGAGGAACAAACCTTGAGAGGAACCAGAATCAGAAGGGAACCTATCCTCATCTGGGTAACATCAGATAGTGTGAAAAAGCTGATTATGGATTCATATGGAGTCTCTTTGGCCTTAGAAGCAGCTGTAGTCCCAGCAATCTGGAATTGGAGTAGATGAGAGCTCCATCCAGAGGTAGGCCATCCAAAATGGATCAGGTAGGTCCAGAGAACAGAGAGGATCAGGATCTCTAGTATCTCCATAAAATCGGTGTGTGGCTCGACAGAAGGAGAGAGGGAGAGAAAAAAAACTAGGACTGTGCCTAGCATAAGAGAAAGTCTAGTCAGCGTAGGCTTGATTAAACAAATACGATTAAAGCCTAGACACTGAGACTGTTCCTGAGTCCCGAACTCTAATTGGAAGACTGTTGCATAAGTGTGGGGCTCCAGAAGAGAAAGCTCATCCTCCTGTTGTAGCCTTCGCTATTCGAGGTACGAACAAATAGCCTGCATCTTTTGATCTAAGTAGGCGTGGCGGATCATAGAAAACCAAAAGGTCGCTTAGATACTGCGGCGCGAGACCATTTAGTTAATTATGGGTTACTAATAGTATTTTATCATATAAAGTAATTTATAGTTATCTTTGATAAGTGAGCTAGCAAACGAGATCGATTTTCTATTCGAATTTTGCTCTTCACAAGCAAAGCGGCAAAGTGATTTAAGGAAACACTGGACTATTTTTTCTGGAGCCAATAAACGTGTTTGTGGATCTTTATATTCTCATGTTTCTGCCCCTCTTCAATACATTTACTTCAATTAAGTAACTAGACCATTTACAACTTCACATGTACACATTCGATTCAGTTCAAATCAATTTTATTTGTGTAGCGCTTTTTACAGTGGACATTGTCTCAAAGCAGGATTCGTTTGACTTCCTTTACATCAATGCAATTTCCCAGGATGGAAGATGTGTTTGGCACGAGCTTGTTTGATGAATGCCAAGGTGCTTTGTTGCTCATCTTCATAAAGATTCTCTGCATTAAGACTCAGGTTCATAGCAGGCTTCAACTTGCATAGGTAAAGCCCCAGTGCAGTTCAAGTCCAGTGCCATATTCTGTTGGCCATCACGGGTATGGGGCACAGGACAAGGCTCAAGTGCAATTTCTTGGATCATTTATGGTTTTATCGTTTATGTTTTGATGCTATCCAAAGTGCCAACCGTCTTTCGGAGCGTAAGAAGGATTTCCTCGTTAGTATAGTGGACAGTATCTCCGCCTGTCACGGGGAAGACCGGGGTTACAAACCTTAGCAGGAATGGAGCGTAAGACAAGGCTTATATAATATATCCCGTTTTACTTAGGGTCTAACCCCAACCCTAAGCTGTACATGATGTGAAAGGAAACCTGATTCCTCAGACCAAGCCACCTTCTTACTGCTCAAGGGTGCAACGGTTAATACACATCATTTAATACTAGACGTAAAACACAGTTACAAAACATTTAACTCAAAGGAGCTACTCCACTCACCAGCGGTAGCAGTCAGGAATTCCAGGAAATATCCCGTTTTACCATTAAATACATTTCTAGTATGTTAAGAGAGATAATACACTTTAGTCGTTAGCTTACATTTAGTGTGAATGGTTGAGCGGCGGGCCTAACCATTCTATTGGACCGTCTTTACAAGCCTTAGCAGGAATGGAGTGTAAGACAGGGCTTAAGTGCAACTCCTTGGCCAAGCGTCTTTTCAAGCCTTTTCAAGCCATTTCTAACCCCAACCCTAAGCTGTACATGATGTGAAAGAAAACGTGATTCCTCAGACCAAGCCACCTTCTTACTGCTCAAGGGTGCAACGGTTAATACACATCAGTTAATTCTTGACGTAAAACACAGTTACAAAACATTTAACTCAAAGGACCTATCCACTCACCAGCGGTAGCAGTCAGGAATTCCAGGAAATATCCCGTTTTACCATTAAATACATTTCTAGTATGTTAAGAGAGATAATACACTTTAGTCGTTAGCTTACATTTAGTGTGAATGGTTGAGCGGCGGGCCTAACCATACTATTGGACCGTCTTTACAAGCCTTAGCAGGAATGGAGCGTAAGACAGGGCTTAAGTGCAACTCCTTGGCCAAGCGTCTTTTCAAGCCTTTTCAAGCCATTTCTAACCCCAACCCTAAGCTGTACATGATGTGAAAGAAAACGTGATTCCTCAGACCAAGCCACCTTCTTACTGCTCCATTGTCCTTTGCTGATGCTCACGTGCCCTTTCTATGAGCTTTTGATGGAAGAAACTGGCCAGCATAGCTAGTGTAGAGGCCACCATTTTCTTGGTGTTCGTCCCTGGTTGTCTAGTGGTAAGGATTCTGTGCTCTCACCGCTGCGGCCTGGCTTCCATTCCCAGTCAGGGAATGGTGTTTTATCCACCGCTGGCCAAATTAACATTTAAAAAGGAACCATATCACACAGAGAAATCCTTCCTTCGAGCCGGAATCGAACCAGCGACCTGAGGATGACTAGTTTAAGTACCTACAGTCCTCCGCTCTACCAACTGAGCTATCGAAGGTGAAGCAAAGCTTAATCCATGTATATCTATAAAACCATTCGGTATATCGATATATACGGTGCGAATGTATCCCAACTGAGCAAGCCACTAAATGGTGACGGTGGCAAGGAAAAACTCCCTAAGATGTTAAGAGGAACAAACCTTGAGAGGAACCAGAATCAGAAGGGAACCTATCCTCATCTGGGTAACATCAGATAGTGTGAAAAAGCTGATTATGGATTCATATGGAGTCTCTTTGGCCTTAGAAGCAGCTGTAGTCCCAGCAATCTGGAATTGGAGTAGATGAGAGCTCCATCCAGAGGTAGGCCATCCAAAATGGATCAGGTAGGTCCAGAGAACAGAGAGGATCAGGATCTCTAGTATCTCCATAAAATCGTGTGTGGCTCGACAGAAGGAGAGAGGGAGAGAAAAAAAAAACTAGGACTGTGCCTAGCATAAGAGAAAGTCTAGTCAGCGTAGGCTTGATTAAACAAATACGATTAAAGCCTAGACACTGAGACTGTTCCTGAGTCCCGAACTCTAATTGGAAGACTGTTGCATAAGTGTGGGGCTCCAGAAGAGAAAGCTCATCCTCCTGTTGTAGCCTTCGCTATTCGAGTACAGACAAATAGCCTCGCATCTTTTGATCTAAGTAGGTGGGCGGATCATAGAAAACCAAAAGGTCGCTTAGATACTGCGGCGCGAGACCATTTAGTTAATTATGGGTTACTAATAGTATTTTATCATATAAAGTAATTTATAGTTATCTTTGATAAGTGAGCCAGCAAACGAGATCGATTTTCTATTCGAATTTTGCTCTTCACAAGCAAAGCGGCAAAGTGATTTAAGGAAACACTGGACTATTTTTTCTGGAGCCAATAAACGCGTGTTTGTGGATCTTTATATTCTCATGTTTCTGCCCCTCTTCAATACATTTACTTCAATTAAGTAACTAGACCATTTACAACTTCACATGTACACATTCGATTCAGTTCAAATCAATTTTATTTGTGTAGCGCTTTTTACAGTGGACATTGTCTCAAAGCAGGATTCGTTTGACTTCCTTTACATCAATGCAATTTCCCAGGATGGAAGATGTGTTTTGGTACGAGCTTGTTTGATGAATGCCAAGGTGCTTTGTTGCTCATCTTCATAAAGATTCTCTGCATTAAGACTCAGGTTCATAGCAGGCTTCAACTTGCATAGGTAAAGCCCCAGTGCAGTTCAAGTCCAGTGCCATATTCTGTTGGCCATCACGGGTATGGGGCACAGGACAAGGCTCAAGTGCAATTTCTTGGATCATTTATGGTTTTATCGTTTATGTTTTGATGCTATCCAAAGTGCCAACCGTCTTTCGGAGCGTAAGAAGGATTTCCTCGTTAGTATAGTGGACAGTATCTCCGCCTGTCACGGGGAAGACCGGGGTTACAAACCTTAGCAGGAATGGAGCGTAAGACAAGGCTTATATAATATATCCCGTTTTACTTAGGGTCTAACCCCAACCCTAAGCTGTACATGATGTGAAAGGAAACCTGATTCCTCAGACCAAGCCACCTTCTTACTGCTCAAGGGTGCAACGGTTAATACACATCATTTAATACTAGACGTAAAACACAGTTACAAAACATTTAACTCAAAGGAGCTACTCCACTCACCAGCGGTAGCAGTCAGGAATTCCAGGAAATATCCCGTTTTACCATTAAATACATTTCTAGTATGTTAAGAGAGATAATACACTTTAGTCGTTAGCTTACATTTAGTGTGAATGGTTGAGCGGCGGGCCTAACCATTCTATTGGACCGTCTTTACAAGCCTTAGCAGGAATGGAGAGTAAGACAGGGCTTAAGTGCAACTCCTTGGCGCTAGCGTCTTTTCAAAACCTTTTCAAGCCATTTCTAACCCCAACCCTAAGCTGTACATGATGTGAAAGAAAACGTGATTCCTCAGACCAAGCCACCTTCTTACTGCTCAAGGGTGCAACGGTTAATACACATCAGTTAATACTTGGACGTAAAACACAGTTACAAAACATTTAACTCAAAGGACCTATCCACACACCCGCGCGTAGCAGTCAGGAATTCCAGGAAATATCCCGTTTTACCATTAAATACATTTCTAGTATGTTAAGAGAGATAATACACTTTAGTCGTTAGCTTACATTTAGTGTGAATGGTTGAGCGGCGGGCCTAACCATACTATTGGACCGTCTTTACAAGCCTTAGCAGGAATGGAGCGTAAGACAGGGCTTAAGTGCAACTCCTTGGCATACCAAGCGTCTTTTCAAGCCTTTTCAAGCCATTTCTAACCCCAACCCTAAGCTGTACATGATGTGTAAAGAAAACGTGATTCC